AGCTTTAAAAGATTTCATCAAGTTGATAAGATCTTGGTTTCAGAGGTTTTGTCAGAATCGCTGTTTCAACTCAATAGATGGCGCTGCGATTAAGAAACTCTGTCCAATAATTTGGCAAAGGTTGCTCTATATTGTGGTTAAATTTCGTAAAGAACGGTTGTGTCCTCTCAGAGATATGAGCGTTCAAAGATGTACAATTTAAATGAAACGCCCTGTATATTAGATCACTTGAGCTAGAATACCTCAGCTATGACAAATCAACTCAACAAATGCCCATAGAAATGAAAAGTGACAGCAACTGATGCAATTAACACTTATGAGTTCCTTTCACCAGCTGTTATGTTTCTCTAGTCATTCCTCAAAAGCTCAAGATTATACAGGGTGTTTATAAAGTCCTTGAAAATTTTAAAAACCTAATAATTTTTCATTCATAGATGACAAAACAAAATAGAGAACTGCTTCACAAAGCCTAACTCCAAAAGTTTTTTTTAATGACCTTTAATAACTGCTTGACCTTTTCTTTCAGATTAAATGTAGCTTCATCTGAAAATGTCAACTCATCCAAAAATATAGTTGATTCTGAGCTTTTCCGTTGAAATTGGTGAGAGAACACCAGCCTGGCATCATAATCATCCTCCAGTAAAGCCTGAACACCTCGAATTTAGTAGACACGTACACCCAGAGTTACTTTTAAACTTTTGGAACTGTTGAAACTTGCATGTTCTTTTCAAGTATGGCATGGTGAGGCAAATTTCATGGGCTTCTTGCAAATGCTACCTGAACTGTTACTACAGTGTCTGCTTTGTCTCGCAGAGTGTTTCCTGTCATGATCTGATCCTCTTTGGACTTTCTCATTCAATTCTTAATTTGTTTTAGTAGGTGGTTGTTTGTTGTAATGTGTCTTGAACCTTCATTTCACTGATGTAACTAATTTCAATTCAGTTAAGCACTAAACACAGTTCACTTTTCCTTCTATTGTTGCCATCATCTTGTGCTGTCCTGGTGCCTTTAGTGGATATATGTGGATCTGGAATGTTACTTCTTAAAAAACTTTGAAGATTAGGCTTTGTGAAACAGTTCACTATTTTTTACTATCTTCCTTGGGTAAAAAGTTATTAATTTTTTAAACCTGTCAAGGACTTTATAAACACCCTGTATACATGGCAGCTAAGACCCTTTTATATAGGCTATCCTTTAGCACATGGGTGGACAAACTTCCTCACCTCACGAACCACATAACAAAGTCTTCATATGGCCAAGAGCCACAAGGCACACCACTTGATTCAACTTATTTTTTGAAGTTGATGCAATGTGAGGGCCTGTGACCCAGAATAGTCCCATACCCATTCCCAAGAGGGTTAGTAGATGTAATACAGACCATCCTGTGGCTTTTTTATGTTTATTTTCCCATAAGAAGGATTAAGCCTTGAAGTTTCAGATTGTGATTGTTTTAATACTCTGCACAGATTAGTGTTCATGTTGGATAGACATATGTTTAGTCTCAAGAGGATATAAGTGCTTCACTATATTGGTCTCATAGACCTAGCAGAAATTAAGGTGTGAAGTATGAGTCTGATGAGTGATAATCACTGTGATATGTAGGCTGTGCTATCTCAAAGATAGGCTTTTGCCTGCAATACTGCATTTTATCTGGAGTCTCTTCCCTAAGGAGAGATTCTGAAATTTTCAATAGAGTAAAAAAGCAGTCTCCTGCATTCTTCCAGCTTCTCTTGTCCTATGAAAGAATATCATGAGAAATTGGTACTTAGTCCATTATGTCATGCAATAAGATATGATTGGATGAAAACTGCCACTCTATCATTAGCATTTTTGTCAAATTATCATGGAATAAAGAGGTCAAGTGATCAGTGACAGCAGTGACAATGAAACCAGTAAAGGCTGATTAAGATAGTATATTTTATTCAAATTTCACTTCTTGAAGGATCCAGAAATCCTCTGTTGGGATGTGCGCAATGCATTGCAGCCTATAACTCGATTCACCAGGGATGCATCAACAAATCAGAGGATCTACTTTGAGATTGATCCATCTGGACGATTCCTTGTGTCAGGTGAGATGGGTCAACCAAGAAACTTCAAAGTATTTTTTGACCTTGTGGTTTCTTTGCATTCAGAAAACTAATTCCTATATTACAGCAGCATATACAGGAAATGAAAACCAATTTGTGTATTTTCTCTTAGGCCAAGTAAGTGGAGAGATGAGGACATGGAATGCAAAGTCTCCAGACAAAGATAGATCTTCATCCTGGAAACTTCATAATGATTGTCTCAATGGTCTCAGGTCTGAAAATGCCTTCTCCTTTTTAACTATCACTATTTTTTCTTCTTTGATGAATGACCTGAATTGTCTGTCCCATGTTTACCCAACAAGGGGTGAGAGATCTTTCCTTAGTAGCTATTTAAACTAAGTACCAGAAGTAAGTCCACTTTATTCTTGAGCCAAACATTATAGGCAGCAATGCAGAAAATGTTGATAATCAGGTGAAGCTTCTTCATATTTACCAAGAGTTCCTTGTCTAACTTGTTATGGGGCAATGTAATGAATATGTTAACATAGTATGTATCAATTGCATTTCATTTAGCTGCTTTTGCTGTAAAGGTTTTGTTCCACATCTTCAAATAATGCTGAGATTTTTGTGAATTTGATCAATCTAGTTATGATCTGATGGAATCATTTTATTGGGCTCTGAAGATAGTAAGCTTGAGTATCTCCCTCAGACATTGCAATGTCAATTTTATTTCCTTTGGCTGTTTGCAAATAAGATGCTCTAGAAAGAAATTACAAAGACTATATGAACACCTACATATATGGTGACCATCTCATTTGGCAACAGCCTCAGGAAAACTGAAGAAAATCAAGAAAACATTCCAGTGTCAAATTGACAATCAGCACAAATCTCAAATTTTATTTTTTTCTCCCACAATCATGTAGCATGCATCCAAAGCTGCCAGTGTTGGCAAGTTGTTCGGGTCAGCGCCATGTACCTGAGCCTCTTCCTGACCCTGAAAATCCAGTGTCCATTCCTTTTGACAATTCCTTCAAACTCTGGTGGTGTGGTGCTTTTGACCAAGTGGACCCTTGACCAAATTATCACCCTAGACAAAGCTTTGCCTCTTTTGACAAACTGATTTTTTACAACATTCTTGCATAAATCTGATCTTGTTTCATTGTCAATTTTTTTTGTTTGAAATACATTTTGTTTTTTTTTTTGTTTGGCATCATATTGGATGTCTTACAAATTCACCAATGTGGTTAACTGCCAAATTCATGACTGAGTGTCCTTCCATGGATTGCAAGGAGTCACAATACAAGGCTTTCATAATGTAGGGTATTGGACTTGGCAGAAATTCACTCAAGTAAATGTTTGAATCCACTTTATGTGGGCCCTGCTTAATCAAAATTATAATGCTAAATCATCATCACAATTACTGAGCAGACAAACCCCAAATATGCATTAGTTTCAATTCTGGCAGACAGTATTAGTGATACTCATGATGAGAAAAAGATTTTATATAGTGATTTTTTTTTTTTGAGACAAGACAAGACTCATGTGACAACTGCCTTACTATAACTTGCTAAGAGAAAGGAGTTTTCTGCTTGGTACAGGCACCACAGCCAATATGAGTGTCCCTTGAGCAGGGATGCCCTATAGAAAACGTTTATGGGCAAGTAATGAATTGCTCAGGTCCATGACTGGAGGAGGTGATTTTCAGGCATACTACATGTGTCCCTCAGATGTGGCATGTGTTTCCCCATGTAAACAAGGCAGGTGGGTCATCTTGCAACAAAAATGAGTATCCCCCTGCTGCAATGTACTCAACAGCATCACTTGAAGATGAAACCAGGTCACTCCTTTCCTTTAAGTTCTTATGACCAAACTTGGAATGACTGTAAGACTTAAAATAGTCCCAATGTGCCCCACACTTCCTACATCTAAATATGTTCAGCTGTTTGGCTAAAATGTGAGCTACTTCATGCAATGACACTGCATACTCAATTTTTATTGAGTGTGCAGTGATTATAAGCTTTTACATGATTAGGAGTAACAAAAATTGTTTTTGTCTGCTGCCAGATGTCTCATTTGCATAAGGAAATTTGTTCATGCTCACTGCTAAGATAGTATACTGTTGACTTATGTATTACTTTATTTATTTTGAAAAAATTACCACCAAGCAAGGAAGGGACTTAGGAATATGGCCAGTTTTATGCTACTGTAGACATAAAAAATCACCTCTGAAAGGTGGGGACAAAATATAATAAGTTCCAAATAATCAACCTTTCCCTTCCTCAACTTGCCCATTCCACCATCTATGTGGATAGAGTGCCCCTATGCATTATTTTGTGTTTGCACATATACACATTGAGGGTGGCATTGTTTTCTGTTGAATAGGTTTGAAGTAAAAAATGCATCTCTCTGGCCAGCAGATGGTGACAGACCTCAGGATTGTAAGACCTATTCTAATAGCCCATTTAGTTGTGCTTTTCCATGTTTCAGATATTCTGAGCTTTCAATATGACTTGCTCCTAGTTTTTTTTTTAACACTTATGATGCAAAGGCTGCCAAATGGCATGATCCATTTTGTCTAGATGCCACACATATATCACACTATATATTGCACACATGTAGAATAAAAACAATACCATTTCAGAAAAAGAATTACTTTTACATTGCAAATAACTTGCTTGCTTCATTCCTTGTGGTTTTTGTGTTTCATGAACTAGATTCAATATTATGATCCCAATGTAATCCCAGGTTGATGAGGGGTGTGAGAAAAACTAAAGCTTCAATGTGACAACATCTTAGACAGAGTAATCATTCTCAACATTTTCTGCACAGTGAACTATCTGCATCTATGACTGGAGGCTCCTAGTGTGCACCAGAACATCAGAATCACCATGATTTATGAGAAATCAGAATGCAATGTGGCTAAATCAGCTGTTGTGCAATCACCTAGTGAAAGCAATCATGCACCAAGCTACTTCAGTTCTAATTTTGTTTTTCTTCCAACTTGTCAATAATGACATAACCAAGGATCACATTTATTTTTTGTATTTTTAAAGTGAGAATGCCAACCAAGACATGAAACTTCCAAGCAAAAAGAAAGTGGTATATGGTGCAAGGAAAAGCAATGAGAGAAAAGAATCACAGATTTGGGGAATAAGGGCCAAGATAACTCTTCCCCCATCAATCATCCTTCAATAATACCTCTAACACTCACCATCACAATGAACTGGTCTTCCAGTCAGAAACAGGTATAAGAGAAATAGTCTACCAGTGCCGCAGATGCTAAGATAAATAACCTCCCTCATGGCAATTTGGTTGACTCTCAACAAAATGGATTCCTTAAGGGAAGAAGTTCCCCACCTCTCTGACAACCATAACACAGTTTTACAGAAACTGGTAGCACTGCTATAATTTGAAACAGGTGTTCACAGACACTCCAGGACCTCATTTCCGAGCAAGAGCAATGCCAAGTCCAATCAAGGCCCCAAGACCAAGGATTGCTCCTCCTGCAACTGCCATGCCCTTCAGTCCCTCTGTGAAATGAAAAAAAAGTGTTGAACTCATCCCAATAAAGAGAGACTAATTAGGTCTAAAACTATCAAGGGGTTCTTCTGGGAAAGATTGCAAGGAGCCCAATGTGGATTCCAGGGACTGTGAACCTTCCTAAGGAAATCCCAGCCCCTATATGGCTTCTGAAGTGGGAGGTAGGATCAGCATTTCAGGAGACATGTAATCCCTTTTGGTAACAGAGAAGAAAGCCAAAAATAAGGAGGTTCTCACCTTTCTCCATATTCTTCCTGATTAGAGCTTCTAGTTCCTTGGCTTGTGGATTACTTGGCTCTGCTGCCAGAAGAGCCTGTACATATTTCAGTGCATCCTTGTATTCCTGAAAAAAAGGAGGTCTCAAGTTGCTATTGTAGTACAGAATTAATGCTCTTCTTCAGGAGGCATGGCACTGATCCTTGGGCTCACCTTCAGCTTCGCATTCCCAACTGCCAGGTAATAGATGTAGTCCCTTCGAGTTGGACCATCCCCTCGGCTATAGAGATCCTCCAACAAGATGCAACCCTTGCGGATATCAGCTGCATACGGTGATCTCACAAGGCAGAAGGCATATTCCCACTGTGTCTGCTCTTCTACTCTCCCAGTTTCCAGTTGTTGATGGTATTGTGCCTCAAATTTCTAGTAATGGGGCAAAAATTTTTCTTAGTCAGGTCTAACTTATTGTGTCACTTCACAGCGGGCAAAATCACATTAATACATGCATAAAAACAACTTTATGATAGAATGTCCTAAACACTTACTATAGATGGGTCTGAGAACTACCACTTAATGTGGATTGATTGGCTGTTCCACAAGCTTAGGCCTAGTTGGGAAATTGTCTCAGTACAGGCTCAGCACGTAAGGCCATTCTGTTTCTTTCATATTCACATCAAACTTTGCTTATCTTGAAGACAAGCGGGCTAGTTGGTTGTTACAGAAGATAAACAGAAACGTATGCCTCCTTACCCTCTTCTCCACAAATGTAAGAATCTTCTTGTATAGGTATCTTGAAAACAATCCAAGGTTTCTTTGGAAACCTTGGATTGGATTCGAGGAAACCCTTTCGCTCTCAAGCAGAATTATATCCCATTAGGGAGAGCCGGTATATCGGCACCTTCGGAGTGAAATGGTTAATACATTATGGAGGTGCATCCAATAAGAAATACTCACAAGAATCGCCTATGTCTGCAACGTTAAAGGTATATTTTTGAGAAACATCTCGAAGACACATGCAAGTCTTACATATGCAACAACCTACTTACTTTCAAGTCTTGCATCTCCACGACATCATCGAGCGGATTCGCCATCTCCTTTTTCGGAATGCAGACAGGCGATGGAGATCTTTATGAATTTCGCACTATAATTTACGAGCTGGAGTTACTCTTGCTGAATCCCCAATCCAGGACACGTGACGAATGAATCAGCTTCGCAGTACGGTGCGTGGATGTATCCACATTGGAGGTGTGATGACGTCTCCCATATAGTCTGCTGGAGGGCTGTCTCAGGTCCGTCAGGCATCGTCTGCTCCAGTCGAGGTCCATCATGGCGGCTGGTTGGATACTGTTTGTTCCGTGGGTCTTTCTGTTTCCACTCCATGCGTCAGCACAAGACTTCGACATCCCCTTTCTCGATTCCTTTGACGGAGGGGAACTCATGTCTGTGATTCGGCTGGGCACCGAAGTGACGGATTTCGCGTTGAAACTCTTCCACGAACTCAGTGGCTCCGACGGAAACTACACTCACATCTCGTTGCAGCTGGGTAGTCACGACGCGAAGGTGTTGAATAAATTCGAGCAGGTCACGGCCAGGCTCGATGTGATAGATAGCTCCTTAGAAGGAGTTCAAGAGGCATTGGCTCAATTGCACGACTACAGTCATCGTGCCGTACGATGGGAAGTTCTCTTCGACACCCTTCAGGTAACATTGAGGTCAAATAGATGGGGTAATGACCCTGACCCTGGTCTGTCTTCTCGCTCGGCAAAGAAAAAAATATTGCTAAAGGTTAAGCAAGCTGATTGAAACACAGTGCTGTTACACGGCCGAATTAATGTATTTGGAGACTCGTTCATACTGATATGTACTCCAGAATCATGATAAAAGCAGGGAGAGTGAGGGAGATCTGAACGAGATTTTCAGACATGCACGTGCCAGCCACTCCTCCCTCAGATTTTTATTATCCCTGTACCGACTTTGTTCTCGCACCCCCCCCCCCTCCCCCCTCTCCTTCACCCATAGCTCGAGTTCCGTGTGTCCGTACGTTAATCTGACACCTGTTGTACGATGGGGATTCCGTTTCTCACCTACGGACTGACCCTTTATGATTGGCTTGTCATTTCAGACAAGCCCATTTAAAAACATAATCTCAACGTTGGTGATGTTCCCTCCATTCTCAAAGGCCGATGGTCCTGAAATGCCCACTCAGTGCCGACATTAGGTTTCCAGGTACGTTAGGGATAAATCGGATCCTTCCACCGCCTGTTTTTTTTTGTTGTTGCATGGAACAAGTAATAAAATAGCAGAAAATTAAATAAAGGGTGAAAGGACTGGGAGGGAGTGGCGGGCGTGGAGTCGTTCCGTGTCATGAGACCCGGATCGGGGCCTGAAGGACCCTCGAGGCCCCATCGCATCCCGCCTGCCTTTCCTCTGACTCACCGTAATGAGTCGTTTTTTTAGTTCTCAGCTGCCTGGGGTTGGATTCCGACGTCGGACCCGATGACGTTCGGAGAATTCTTGGAAACGATGGTGGAACTTTTTTTTTACAGTCATGGATTGTTGAACAGGAGGAAACGAAGCGTCATTAAACTGGTTGCTCGGTCCTGTCTATTGCGAAATCCTTGAATTCTCGCAGCCTTGCAAAGAACTCTCTCGGTCTATGCTTCGATTCGGTTACGCAAAGTGTTTCTCAGCAAGATGGGCAATTAATGATCGATCACGTTTGCTTGGAACTGATGTGCGGACGCATTTCAACGGGGATTCAAATTTCTGGACGCCTTTCTGTATCGGCATTATTCCCCGATGGAGAATATTTGGTTTTTAAAAGGAGGGAAAAGGGACAGCGCGAGTCCATAGAAAGTTTAACAGGAGATGAAACAGGGTTGAAAATGGAATAACGGAGATCCAAATTGCCTCTCCTTTTTTGGAACGTCCTTGAGAGCCTTGCACTAACGCCGTTCCTTCATCGCCGTTCTTATTGACATGACAAGGAGGCCTTGCGGAAATACGATCGACTGCTATGGCCGTCGCCGCGGGGTGGAAGCATTACATTTTATCGAGTGTCTTTAAAAAAAACATTGGGAGGCAGGAATTCTTCGAGAAAGAAGTATATCCACCGTCCTCCCTCTACTGTGTGGGCTGTGACGTCACAGTGTGCAACAGAAATCTTTCGGAATGTCGCAGGGCTGGGAACGTAATGGTGTTCTTTGATCGGGTCGTTTAAAGCTAATAGTCGACGAGGAAAGAGACGGGCTTACGAAGAGAAGTTAACCGAAGTTAACGCTGATTACCGTGATGTCGGCTGTTTCCTGGCTCGCCCTTGTGGACGTAGATGTCACGTCCGCCGAGTTTACCGATCCGACTATCCAACCCGGATCGTCTTCGCAGAAAGTTTATATATGCCAGTCGGTAGATAGCAGCATGACTTATTTACTTACTGACCAACGGTCGATCGTTTCGCTGCTACGCATCCGCCCAGAATTCATCGGATGGCAATGCCAATAAGAAAATTGACAGTGGATACGCGATTATACCGGAATGTTGCGGACGAGACGTGATGAACGGGAATATTTTAGGGAAATACGAAATAGTACTGATTTTGTTAGTACCAGTTCACAGTTGTACTACGTGAATCGTAAGTAGGAAAGACTTGGGGATTGTCACTGAAAGACATTGGGTGGCATGCACCGGATCCGTTTAAGCTAATTAATCTGATTTCACAATGGTCCCCTATGGGAATCAGTTTAACAGAGATAAAATTATTCCCATACACGTCCATCATGAAAACCAATCAGTTTAAAGTTAAACGAATCTGGTGCACGCCACCTATTATCATATTATAGTTATGATTATGACGCCTGAGTCAGAGGCCACACACATCCCACGAAACGTGAATTACATAATATTTTTGTTATAAAAGCGTGCCTGATCGTAAAAGATAAAGTCCTTCGGTTGCATCGACCGGGAATTCCCCCAGGTCGTCGATGAGCTTATGACGCTGACAAACCCGTGTTCTCGTTTAAGTGATTGTGCCCGTTCAAATGATTTTTTTCTTTGGAGCTTTTCACCTCTCTACCCGTCTGTCAGCCTTCTTCCTACTTCTACTGGGGCTTGCGTTCATATAGCAATTGCAATTCATCGTCGCGATGATTTATCAAAAAAAGCCGTCGTTAAATGCTTCCGAGTGTTGCGGTTCGGCTCTAATCAACGCCGTCGTTGCATCAGCCACTTTGCTAATTATTTGCCAATTACGGAGTCGAGTTGCTGCGAACTTGAATTTTAAAAGGCAAAGGCAGCCGCAGCAAGAAATGAGGGAGATTATTTGATGATCGGGAGCTTGTGCAAAATCGCACAAACGACTCCATTTCGAGTGCGACTTCAACGTCTCCCTGCTCTGGCCGCTTCTTTCCGAGGTGAAGTGGGACACCCGTCGGATTCTATGCCCTAGGGGAATCCGCAGCCTTGTTTCTCCTAGAAGAGAATCAGAGAAGCCAATAGTGGGGATGCTAGGTCTCATGCCTCGGGCGTCTCTACCCAGACCAGCCCGGAGCGTGTCTCTTATGCCCTCCCATTCAGAGCGAGTGGACGACTGCATGGAGTGCGTGGCATGCCTTGTCGGTGCGTCGGGCCGCGAAGCTGACACTCCAATTTGTCTCGTCAGTCTATATGCAATGGGATCACGTGAAACAAGTCTTGTCGCCGTATATGAGTGTAATCGAAAAAATGAGACACTGCGAACGGAAAAGCGGGCGTGGATCGAGGATATCCAGTGAGACCCAGAGAACTGATGACGTAAAGGCATCTAATGCGACTGAAAAATGACTATTTTCTTGTCATTTTTAATTCCCCCCCCCCGGCACGAAAGCAACCCGCGAATATTTTTTCGTCGGATGGCATACCTGCGACGTCAGATCCTGGATTACAATGAATCGTTGTACAAAATCTTGAACATATTTCAAGGATAGAGCAAAAGTAAACGGTAGAGGAGGGGAAGGGACTAGAATTCACTTGCGTCTCTATTGAAATTCAACCTGTCTTTTCCGTCTTCCCTTGTTCCGGATCCATTCAAAGCAAAAGAGCTGAAGTAATATAATTAGATCGATCATAGCATGTGTGAATCCCATCGGTAGGGTCACCAGCCGTCCCGGTTTTTCAGGATCTGTCCCGGTTTGGAAAGTGGTCCGATTCTAGTTCCGCTTTTCGGGGAAAATGTCCCCGGTTTTCAAGGCAAGTAGTGTGATGTGGACGAGATGGGCCGGATCTACATCCGGCCCATGGAGGAGGGCATTTTCCCCTCACATTGTGTCCCGGTTTTTTGTTGTTGTTGTTGTTGTTGTTAGCCGGCTTAGTGACCGTAAAGGTCAATTTACAAAAGTATTATTTTCAATCATTGGAGGAGAGTTTAACCGGTAATATCGTGGCAATTTAGAAACTTTGGGCGGATTGCATGAACGATGTTTTCCCAGTGTTTTTCGAAAGTCATCGGTTAACCGATGTCTAAGGCCAAAAATGGATTGCATGAGCGCTATCTTCCTTTAACTATTGTCTAACCATCGGCTATGATAACAGCTTGGGGATCGTTCACGCAATCGAAAGTAGGCAACGGTTAATCAATATTTTCGTAGACAATGGTTAAGCAATGGCTATCGATAATCAATATTTAAAATAAACATCGTTCATGCAGTCGGTTCTTTTTGTTTATGCTGGAATAGTCTCCCCGACGGTGCAGCGGCTTTCACGCGTGACGTCAACAAAATGGATATGTACTATTTTTAGTACTTGCATTTTACCAGTGCGGACGAACGTACATACGCGTCGAGCGCCTCATTAATCATTGGATCGTTTTCTCTTTTATTTGCTCCCTCACGTAGTTTCGGATTGGATCGGATCGGATCAGGATTTGGAGTTTCCATTTTCATTTTCATTTTCTTTCTCCCATTCTGCATCTTCGACATTCCGGGGTGTTTCTCCGAAAAGGGGCGAAAGAGAAGAAACGAAAACGAAATATCGGTCTTGTACCGATCTGGTTGATCTGGTTGCAGATACCAGAATGTCCCTTCCTTTTGTCTTGGTGGACCGATGGAGTTCTTTCCGCGGGTGACAGATCAGACAGATCTTGAGGTCTTGCCAAAACCGACCAATTCATTAGTTAATGTGGGTTTTTGGTTTGAGTTGCATAGGGCCCAGGATAAAAAAGTTTTTGTCGTCCATGGTGTTTTTCCCCTGTATTCTTTTCTATTGGTTTCTTCCTGAATAAGCAAAAAATCGGTCGAGCGATGAGCAGAAATAACTGTCCATTGCCAATTTATGCAGCACTGTGTTATAATTGAGGAAAGCGAGTTTTTTTTTTCTCACTGGAATCGGGGTTACATCCTAGGAACCTTCCCTTGGCAACACAAAGCCCCAAAAATGATTTTTTCGGCTCCACTCCCACCCCCAAAATAGAGGCGTAATCGGGGGTCAGGCCATTGAACCTTTTTTTTATTATTAATAAATACCTCTTTTTTGTGCCTCCGATGAGATAGAGTCACATAACGGGTTCCAAAATTGTTTCCCCTCCGGCTCTCCCATGCACTCGAGTCATGAAAAAATCATCGTGCTGGCAAGTCGATGCTGTAGCTTTTATCTCTGCGGGTCCTTGATAGAAGAATTAATGAGGAATACATTCGTGACTGAGTAGACTGAGTAGAGTTCGTGCTGTCGGACCGACAGCACGAACTCTACTCAGGCCAAGGTCAAGTTGCAGTCTACTGGTGATATAATTAATCATTTGTCAATTTTGTTCATGTTTGACAATTTATTGTGAACTAATGCGCAATTTATGTCAGAAAAGTACTAGTACTTTAAGGTTGGTTGATCCGACAACAGTTTCCTGATTTTTCCCCTTATTAATTATGAACGTCATCTTGGAAGTCACGAACCGTTTTGCACGATTTTCTGAAGCTCAGCAGAGCCAATACATATGGAATTTCAGTCTGCTGCCGCGTCTCGATGGAATGCCGTAGACGAGTGCAGTCCGTTTCTCTGCGGTTCTGTCCCGTTCGCAAAGTTGTTGGATTAACGTGGAAATGGTCGATATAAAAGTATTCTTGAAATTTGAGAACTTGCGCTAAAAAAAATTAAGTCTCCCGCAAATGATTGTAATTGGATCAGATGTGTTAGATTAATTAATACTGGATATCGAACAAAATCTACGAGCATAGAATTTATTGAACAGCAAACAAATGTACAGGGTCCGCTGAAAGAAGTGTAGGGATTTTTAACTGGAATGAAACTTCATTTATCACCCTGTATTCTGAAACAAACAGAAATGGTGGGTTATCATTAATACTTAAAAAAATATAAGCGTGTAAAATCCCCCACACGTCTATAGGCGGACCCTCTTTGTAGTTTTCCAATCTTGTGTCGGTTTTCGGCGCGCGGAAGCGGAAGTCCCATTTCGCACCCGCGATCCGTTACTCTTGCGTACTCTGGGGGGAATCCTTTTCACATGAATCGGGAAATAGTGCAGACGAACTTGTGGCTACAGAATGGAGATGTACGGGATATGATTCATGAGTCGTGGTGTCTCAGAAACACGCTGAGTATTGGCTATTGAGAAAGCTCCGCAGATATTCTGATGATTCATTTTCTGCTTTTCGCGCTAAACCATGCTTTTTGTTCTTTTTCACCTGGAAATTTATTCGAAAGGTGAAGACATGTTTGGTCCATGACGTCATCCGAAGCAGGTGCCACCAATGCGCGGAGAATGATGAATTTACGCCTGACATACGGATCCGGATCCACTTTCAAAAAGTCCAAGGACAACCTTATTTTTGTTCGGATTATACAATGTGAGGTTACATGACATTTAAGAACTCAGCGGAGACCTTTTTTCATGATTCAGCAGGCTTTTCTGAACTACCGCGTTTCGAAAATCCAACAAAAGTTTTGAATCACCCTGTATGTATCTCTATCATGAAATACAGATACATATCTCTTCTGCCTTTTTGTTCTGTGACGTCTCCATCTCGCATAAAAGAGGTGTTGCAGAATAGCAGGGAGCCCAGCATCCACAACATGTCTATCCTGAGCTTTGGGCTTCGGGAAATACAGGGTGTATGATTTGTACCTCTTTATGCCTATTTATATTTGAACCTATTTTTAATGTTATTTAACTTAAATATATATATTTATTATCAGAATTGGATGCAACTTATCACATATTGTAGAGAAATTAATGAGGTTCAACGTTCACTCGCTCAATCTTTCACATGCACCAGCATTTGCTGCACACTTATGCAACAAAATCTTGACATTGAATACTGCTGCATGTAAGAAGTGCAGAGGGACATGGCTCAGCGCCTCACGGATCTGCTTTAACTCTCAGATATTACATGATTTTGTTTTATGAACTGCATCCGTAGCCCAGCCCAGCCCCAGAGAAAGGTATCACAGGGAGTAAGATCTGGGCTATGTGCAGGCCGTTCTTGTGAGCCATGTCTGCCTATCCATCTGCCAGGGGATGTGGCATGCAGCCAGGCCCTAATGTTGTTCTATGGATAAATTATGGGCCCACACAATCCAGCAGCATATTGAGATAACTTTCTCCATTCAACAGGACCCCAGACCTTGCATCTGGATGGAATGTGAGCTTGTAATCAGTCAGTCTATGCACCATGGTTAACCTGCAATCAAGGTACTTTAACCCACAAAAACCTTATTAATTACTCCATAATATATGATAAGTTTAATGTAATTCTGATTGTGAGTAAAAAAAGTTATAGTAGATAAAAAAATTGAGAGTTATAAATCTTACACCCTGTCGTTGGGGGTTGTTGAAAATTGATGTTCATAAGGAACATTTAAAAACTTATGTTCATGGAGAACTCAGCCTTATTGAGTGAGGATGTAACGATTACAGTTGCTTGGGGGCTGCAGATGATATCACTTTCTGTCAATGTAGTGCTGCTCTCTCATTGCTCATGTCGTAGCATAGATTCTTAGGGAATTAGTTAATTTTGTATCCTTGTCCATGTTTTTGTGAGAACCCAGTTTCAGAACAAAGCTCTCATCAAACAAAAACTGCTGGCAAAATTGTTGCAGAGCCAGCAGATAGAATTTCCTAATCCTGAAACCAAAAGAACAAAATCAAGAGTCAGTATTTCTACTCTGCAAGGTCGAAAGCATATAGAAAACTTTGGCTCAATGAAATGTTTTTATATGTCTGTGTTGGATAGGGGATTGTACATCACAGTCAAAAGTGAAGCTTGGCATTGATTTTGATGCTGGTATGAGGTCATATCCATGCAAATGAATTATGAATGCTGAGAGGAATCAAGAGAACAGGTCTCTTGACTGTGCTAAATAGACAGAGGAAGCTCCTGTTCAAGCATGATGTGCCTTCAGTTTCGTTATGACTTGCAGGCATGATCCTGGATATTTACAAACACATAAGCTGACACGACTGCCATTTGTGTACTCCTGAGAAGCTATAATATATGGTTTGTGATTAAACTTTTGTAGTAGTTTCCTCATGGCATCAAATTTGAGAACTGACTACATTGAGCAGCAATGGGCAAAATATAGCCAAAAGGGCTTTATTTTGTCTATTGCTGCAAAATAAAGCAAAATAGACCAGGGAGCAATGTGCAAATACATTTTCTTAAAATGTATTAGCACATCCTTATGGAAGAACACAGGGCTAGGATGATTGCAGTCACTTTTCCAACACCCTTACTAACCATTGTCCATTTCCATGAGGCATTCTTCTAAAACATCTATCTTTATTCTTGAGCCACATCCTTTTGTTGGTGTGAAATCAGGGGAAGTTTCTTACTGGTCTGGTCTCTGCCCAGCTTATCTTAACTTTCTGTAACTATATCTCATGGGATGAATGTATTCTCTTTTGGTGTTGTGTCTGGGACTATGTTAATCTCCAGTAACATTCTCTGTGCTTGTGCTCATGCAGAGCTACGTTCGCCCCATCTGGAGCCTGTATTCGAGATGGAAGGAGTACATGAATTACCGGAACGATCTGGAGCGTGAGACACTGGATGACCTGGCCAGTGCAGTGGTCTCACATCATCCTCATAGCACATTGAGCCTCCTATGGAGCATCCATGATCTTGTTGTCCCCCACAAGGCCTCTATTCGTGCTGGCATCTTTCAGCATCTCAAGGATCTTATTGATGTATGGCCCCTAAGGATCACAATTCATATAACTCTTCCATTTCTTTTTCTCCTTTCATACTCATCAATTGCTCCTATATGTTATACAGAATCTCTGCATGAAAGTTTATGTAATCATAATGATAGGCCTGTACTTATGGAAAATAAGAGTTCATTTTTTAGTTTTCAAAATTAAATACAAAATTTCTTCTTGCAAATTGACAATGTAACTATACAGTACAGAAATATGAAATCTCAAAGCCTTTCTCTCTCATATTTGTTTTGTCCTTCATTCATACATCGATTTGTTTTTAAATTTATGTGCTTTAATGTATTCATTATCACTTTTCTTTCACTAGCATGATGCTGCAACATGTGATCTAGGTCAAAGTCCCCAGCAGTTGGCATATGGTCTTTACAAGTTGATTGCTGCAACAGAAACAAAAGCATTTGCCATGATGACCTTCAGCTGGATGCTCCTGAGGGAAAGTGGCAAAGGCAACTTCTCCAGGTCTTCTTCTCCTATATCTTTTAAATTCTCATTCCCTTTAACTAAGGCAAGAATAATTCATTTTGTGGTGGAAGGGATCATATTAATTATCTTTTCAACAGGGAGACAAAGTTGGCACAGTTGGGGCATGTGAAACGGGAAGAGGAAGCACTGATGAATGCCAGGGAAGTGATGGAGAATCTCAGTCGGGTCTTCTGGCGATGTGATCCTGAGGTGATTTTTTGCTTTCAACACTTTCACTGTCAACACATTCTGCAGGCAATGAATATTTGCCTTATTTGTTGCAGTGCAGAAACATTTACCCCACCCAGCATTTGTATGATTAATATTTTTCTCCATCTTTCCTGAGGACAAGAGCATTGCTCATCTTAAGAGGGGAGGGAGACAAATCACAGGGTAAAAATATAAGTTCTCAGGTTTTGATGATAATTTACTGTCATATTCCATATGAATTTCTCATGATAGTTCTATAATGTTTCATTTGTATCTTCATAGGTTCTAGAATTATTCTTATGCTTTGTTCACATGCAAGAACAAACTTCATTGAATTTTCATTAGTTTTATAGTGAAAATTCAATGCTAATTAGTTTTCTACTTTCATAGTGTATCAGTATGTAACAGATATTGTCTCAGGTTTATGTGAATATTTTCATTAAGTTTTAGGTAACATTTGGCTCCAGTTAATTGGTAGCATTGCATGGAATCAAGAGTTTACAGAGCCATCCAAGCACCAGCAGGGACAATTAGTGCTGTTGGTGAATCTGAATAGTGCTCTGAATTTTTATGTTTGTGCTGGCAATATCAAGAATTTACAGAGCCATCCTTGGCTCTGTAAACTCTTGATTCCATGCAATGCTACCAATTAACTGGAGCCAAATGTTACCTAAAACTTAATGAAAATATTCACATAAACCTGAGACAATATCTGTTACATACTGATGCACTATGAAAGTAGAAAACTAATTAGCATTGAATTTTCATAATCAGCTGGCCAGAAAATGCTATTCACCAACTTTTTTCATGTATGTGTACAATGGGAGCACAATTTTTTAAATTGCTTTGCTCATAAATTATTAGTTTTTGATTGATGGGTATCTTTGATTTTTTAGGTGAAACCATAAATTATTATGAACTAATGCAATGCTGGGTTGTTTATTTCTGGTATGACTGTCATAATCCAATTTATGATCTGCTTTTGCACTTATTATGTATTGGAAATCTCTTGGTTGTAAATTTATTCTGTAAAAAGGATTTGTGTAGCCTCCAATATTGTTGCTTAAGAAAAGTTCCCCATGATGGGACTCAGTGGGAGTTTTGAGCAAACAAAGCAATCTTGCTCCTCATGGATTGGTCTTGAGCTCCCCAAAAAATTGTGATAGGTACTTTTAAATTATAAGGAATATTACCATCACTCAAAACACCCCCTCAACCAGTCCCCTCCCTTAACTGCCCAGTTTTTTTAATCTGAAATAGACAGAGATGTAGACCTTTTTGTTACTGTTCACCCACAGAATTCTGTTTGTTGGTATTTATTGATGTTTAATGAGGAGCTGAATTGAAAAATGTTGAAAATTGTCTGCAATTGGCTTTTATTGTTTTTGATCACTACTTTGGTAAATTGTCCCATTTTGGATCCTGTAAGATTATGAATTCTCTGGTTGGACTCACACCCTAGCAAGAGGGGGAATGTGACAGGGTCAAAGAGAATGTGTGAAAGTGTGAGATGGGAGCCAAGAAGACAGCCTCTGGGCTTGAGATCTGTTTGGGTGAATGCCTTCTCCTTTTCTTACCTTCACCGCTCAGATTTTTTTTTTTTGTATAATAGTAGTATCATGTGGTGATTGACTGGAATTTCAGTTACTCTCTAAACTCAAGTTGAGCTAATATGCTCTTGTGGTCTTATTGAGCATGTCAAGTGCATAATTTTGATATGGATGAGAAGCAGTATTTGTGAACTTTTTCTTTGTTTTAGTATCTTGGTGTATGTGAGCTAAGTACTAATGCCAAAAACCTCTGAATGGTCTCTGATTGATGGGAACAACATGACCAATTTAAAGGTAAATTCAAATTGTTCCATGATGGCTTTGTTGCATGGTGCTAAATTTGGACATTTAGAATTATTCATTCATTGGAGGCTACTGCACCAAAATGATTGTTACTTGAACTTGAGCAGACACCCCAGAATAATTGCATGAAATCTGTTTGATATAATCATGTCGATTCACATTTTCAGTTGTAGGCATAGAATGTGATAGTTATCACATCATGAAATTTGATAAGTGCCTTATTGAGAAATTGTCTGACATGATGACTGGTAATTGTGCACAGGTGCACCTGGAAGGAGTGACATACCTCCAGGTGACAGATCTGCTGCAGGGTTACATAGAGAATGAAGTGGACATGAATTCAGAGGGGACATGCACCCAGACATGTTCAGCTTATGGCAATGGCTTCCCAGACGTCAGGACAGGGTGCACTGATAACCGGAAGCAGAAGTTCTGTAGCATGCAGCGCCCATGCAATGGGAACATCTTCAACTGCAAGTTCATTGATGCTGATGCCTGGGTCTGCTTGTCAGACAAGCCAGAGCGACGATATGGTTACATTGAGTATGAGAATGGTACGGCATAATCTACCTAATGATTGTTTTCTTAGGAAACAGTGGATCCAAGGGGGGTATGGGAGGAGGGTGACTCCTCCTTTTATGGCCAGGTTCACATTCCATTTTTTTTAATTTAAAGAGCTTATTAATTAACGTCATTCGGTGGGATCTGTGAAATAGATATCTTTGTTTTATCAAAGATTAAAAATGAAAAATGCAAAGGACAGAGGGTGGTGGTAGGTGGGGTTGTTGAAACTTGGGAACTGCTTCCCCCTTCCCCCCCACCATAATAATTCCTGTTTCCACCACCGTTCTCCATTCTCAGGTCACAGTATGTGTTGCAAGAAAAGGAAGAAGACTTTTCTGGTTTTGTTGTGAATGACTATCCTTTGTGTAATGGTCTGGATCCTTCAATATTTTTGTGACCAAAAAGTTTGAGGTTGAGGTGGTTAATGCCATCACACTTGACTCTCATGTTCTGTTGTTGGGTATTGGCACTTCTCAAGTGAAATGTTGAATCATTCATCATGATTTGGGTTCATCAAAATTTCAAAGTGCTGGACTCTTTCTTTCTGTTCTCATATTTTGTATTCAGAGAGAGCCAGCACAGTAACTGTAGTTTCTTGAGCATATCATCCTTAGGTGACCTAGGAATTCAAGTTCAACATAACCTTGTTCCTGGGTCCATAGGAAAAAGACTGGGAGATAAGGAGAGGGAAACATGCAAAAATATGCAGAAGGTGGACAGTTGGTGGAGGTGGTTCGTCCACTGCTCATATTGCTTCTGCCTTTGTGATGATATGAGCCCTCAGTCACATAGACATTTCAGTCTTCAACTTGTGTCAGCTGACCCAGGCAAAGTTGTCACTGGAATCAAGTTTGAGAAGGTGGACAACATCTTCTACCTCAAGATCCAGCAAGGTAAGGATTGAAGGGATGAAGTCTCTTTGCTGTGGGGAGGATACCCAGGGCTCCAAAATTTGGGAGGGGAGATAGTTTTAGTTAATGTGGAGGCATGCTTAGGGGTCCTCTGCTTATATATAGAGCCTATTTGCCCACTTCAGTACTAAAAAATTTTCAGGTGGTTCAAGAAATTCCTTGCCCAATTTGCCAAGTGTCTGAGTCCATTCAAAATTATTTCTTAAAGAAGTCTTATGAATGCCAGCATGCAATACATTTTGTCCTGCATTCTCAAGACTCAGCATGAGATACTCAAGAGAAATTACATCTGTACATCAAAGATGAACCCATTGGGGTTCAAATATTTTGAATATGTCAGCACTGTCATCCAAGTTTTGTCTATCCTTCATCATGAGGCCAACACAAGATAACTCAGGCATGGACCCCAATAGGTTAAAGGGGAACCAGTCTCAGAACTTGATCATATTTCATATATATTAGTATCCAAAAAATTTTACAAGATAATTTAGAGCTCACTCCTGTAGTAGGAGTCTTGATATCAGTAATGCAGCATGTGTTACACTATCTCAGACCTTGAGGTATATAGCAATTCTCAAAATTAAGTGTTCTGCCAATTTTGATGAAGTGTTGATTCAATCTGGCTTTGGCCGCACAAGCCCATCTGAGTCACCCCACAACTTTCTTTTGCATTACACCCTCCTGGAGCATTTTCATTGCCTCGTCCCTTTGTTGCTGCATTTGCCTTGGCATGTCTCTGAGTTTCTCAGTGATGGGATGACATGCACAATGAAATCAGCCCATTTTTTGTCCATGGAAGTTTTAACTTCAGAAATGGCTCAGAGAAAACCTAATTAGGCATTTTCCAGATGTGGCACTTGCACAGTGCTCAAAGGCTGGTGAGTAAACACTAACAATGTTCAAGCAGTGCTGGCTTATTCAGCATAAGACAGGTATAATGCTATCAACTCCAACAATGCTGGCAACCTTGTATTGTTTCTTTTGGATGCCAGTATAGTATGAAATGTCAGCCAGTTGCAGCTAATAATAACTATACCATCAGAGATCTGATCCTAAAATGGTGGGAAAAGACAAGGATATTCCAGCTGATGAGACCAGCATGCACCTGCTTGGCAAAATGAAAGATAAACACAGGCCACCATACAAGGGAATGGAAGGAATAGTACTGTAGTCCTTCTCAATGGCAGTTTTTGATGCAGAAGTAGCTTGAGAAAAAACATTTGCCTTTTCTGCACTATAACCAAAATTGTAGTTGCATGGTGATGATAAGGGAAGGTTTGTCAGATCTGGAGAGTCTTGTAAGGAGAGGTCTTATAAGGCACACTAAGCATCAATATTATACTTCTCAAAATGATTTTAGCTTTAATTAGCTTCAAACTCACTGAATGACAGTGATATAAACAAGTCACTTAGTTTTACAGTTTCCTGCACAAGAATATACCAGGTGGCCCCCCAAAAAAGCATTATTTTTAACAAAAGAAAAACCACAAAATTTGTTTTCTGAAAGTTTCATGTGCAAATCAACCAAATTTTGTCCAAATCAAGATTGAAAGTAAGTTGAAATGGAGTCTCAAAATGTACATTTTCTGCACATTAGGTGGATGGAGTTTCAGGACTGCTTGAATGATTTCTCTCACTTGATGCCTTTTAGACTGCTTTTAAAAGACTGCTTTTTACTGCAATGAGAATTGACATAAAAGCAGCATTTATGGTGTCTAGGGAAAGAAATCATTCAAGAAGTTAGAAACTCCATCCACCTCATTCTTGGAAAAAGTACATTTTATGACTCCACTTTGACTGACTGTCAATTTTTATTCAGACAACCTAGGCACATGAAACTTTAAGGGAAAAAAACTAGGGGTGTTTCCAATGTGATATGAAAACATCACAAACCTAGATCATCCATGGTGAGTTTTGTAAAGCATCAAACAGGACACTATTTATTTGGGCCACCTAGTACGATTGATGAGGCTATGGAGTTGTTTCTTGACCCATTCTGAAATGTGAAGGATATCCAATGGCTGGAGGTGAGGTGAAGCCATCATCAGTGGAATGGAAGCCCGTGGATCCATATGAAACCCTCAGTGCAGCTCCCAAGGATGGGTACATGACTTTGACATATGAAGACAGGGCTGTGGACCTGGATGACTTATTTGCACCTGCAGGACATGTCATCACTGGTGTTGGATTCCGCAGACTTGGTGCTCATCTTGGCCTCACCATCCAGGTTTGGAACCTATGATTAAATATGGGGTGCATCAAAAGTCTTCGGAAAAGTAAAACAAAAATTTACCAGAATAAATGAGTTGATGATATCCAAAACAATGAATTGATTGGATGTAAAACCAAAAGTGACTGGACAAATGGACACTCCTTCTTTGTTTTTCATGTCAACTGCTCAATGAAAAACTCAAAAGAAGTCCATTAATAAGTTTTAGTCCATTTTTCCTGTGACTTTTGACCACATATTTAATGAATGTTATTGTTTTGGATGTTTTTGATATACTTTTCATTGTAAAACTTTTTTGTTTCATGTGTCCTTTGACTGTTGATTCACCCTTAATCAACAGTATGCACCTGCTCAATTTGGTATGGCACAGAAACTTTCCCAAAAGGACCAAAAACTCAGACAGAAAAAGGTAAACTTCCACTAAAGTTAAGCAAGCCTGTGTGTACAGGGTGCGTAAGAAGTTCTGTTACAAACGTTTCTTTGCCAAAAACAACCAAAGCAACAAGAACGACAACTTCAAGTGAAAATTTATTTAGTACAAAGTGTCAGTCAATGTTAGGAACCATAGACTTCATCTGCAACTTTAAGCTACATGTCCATACAAGTCACACGCCCATAGGCTTGTAAAAGATACTACCCGGGAGACATTCTATGTGAGTCCAAAGTTTGTAACAGAACTTCTTACGCACCCTGTACATGCATCCTCTAAAGGGTACACAGAAAATCCTAGGACTGAATTTGGTAAGACTCTTTCCTCAATTTTGGGCATGTGATGAGTAGGGATCAGATTTTCATGTTCAGAAATGATTTCTTTGCTTTGGTTCCCTTGCCTTGAAAATTGGTGAATTGCCTTTTTTAAAATTCTTATAAGCCACTGTGCAAAATTCTTTAAAGCATATTACTGCATATACTTGGAAGTTTGGTGATCAGGCTCCTAAAAAGCAATAAGCCTCAGGAAATGGCCAAATGCAGAACATGACAGATCTTGTATTCTCATCCTTCTGTAAATAGTAGCTTTATCCTTCATAGCCAAGATATAAATGAAAGTAACTGAAATAGAGGAGTAGACCCAAGGAGGTACCATTACTTTTCCTTCACCCAAGCAATTCTTGATAAATGAGCAATTTAGTCTCTTGGAACCATCCAAATTAGCATCCATTTGTCACTTTTCCTTTTAAACAATGAAATTCATGAAACTAGTCAAAGGAGGAAGTTATCAGGCTCCATTGTTGAACCATTAAAAACTCCTCTTGGTTAAGTTTACCTGGATGGGATGTGAGGAAATTGATTTGAGCTACAGTTGCATACAGATGTACCATCGGGGAAGCTCTTAGAGTCTAGACAGTTGGATGGAGTCTAGTTTTCTTTCGTAATTCAAATAGTTCAGCATTTAATTAGGAATTGTGTCATATGGAGACTGACTTTGTTTTTGGACAAAGTCAGATAATAAGCAAATTCTCTCCATGTGTAAAACCACTATGGAAGGAAGTATCTGAACTGTGCATCACTTATTTTTACTTGCCTATGCTTAAAGCAGAACTTAAGACATATAGTAAGCAATCCATGGAAAGAACCCAACTTTGGTGATGACTGCAACTCTGAACTTTTTTCAAGCAGCAGACAGCTCAGAATTTTTTCAGAGAATGGCTATTTTCCCTTCAGTATCTTGCTAACAAGATATGCTCTCTAAGAAGTAAACCCTGATTTCTTCAGTCTTTGAGTCTAACTAATGTCTACTTTTGAGGCTAAGTTCAGTCCTGTTTCAATGCACTTGGGGTTTTGCCCATCATAGGAAGGGAATAGGGCTCAAAATGTTAATTGTTGAAAGTCTTCAATAAAATTTGGGTCTCAGGCTCCATGCAATGGTTTGCTCATATTTACTCCCATCAGGAGGAGGGGTAAAAAGGAAAACAAGAAAATGGTAGAAGCAAAAGTACTTTTTTCCCCAAAAAAATTTGTTAGTGCCAAAGTTTCTAGTTCCATGAGCCCTGACTTTTTGATCCAAGAGTATATGCCCAAGGATCCTGCTTCAGGCTGTCCCAATTGAGCTGAAAATGAGTATCAGTTTGAGTGGTTCTCTCTTCAAGGTGCATGGATGAAAGAGCAAGATGCATCATTGCTCATTGCTCAAGAAAGGACAGCCTTGTGACTGGACTGAAACATTTAGTCATGAGTCTTCTCCAAATTGGTCGAGGGTAGCCATCTATGGTTGCTGAACAGTGCATGTTACCTGTTCACTAGAAAAATGGTAACCACAAATACAGGGCTGTGCAAAAAAAAACTCATCCTATTTCAAGCTTTATAAAACCTTCTGTAGAAATGCTGGATTTTTCTTTTTTTTGTACACTTAAAAATTTGTTTCATGGAAGTTTGGAAGTCTCCAGGCTTTTGGGTAAAGAGCCACTGTTGCTGAAAATTAGGTTAGAAAAATCTGCTTTTACATGTATTGAACGGTAGCAGTTTCATCAGTGCTCAACAGATGTGTCCCATTTGTTGCCAAAGAGCCTGTTTTTTATGACTGCATTATTATTGCAGTGTTCTTGGACTGTGCAGTGTCATCGTGTTGTATCTTCCAAAGGAAATGTCACTGCTTTAAAGGAGTGCTTTTTACCCTTTGACTGCTGAGTTTTAAAGAGTGCAGCCCCTGCCCCATGCAGAGTTTTTTTTTTCATTAATTCAGTCTTTGAAAACATTGACATTTTCAGGTCATGAAAGGAATTCTTTTTATTCCAAAAAATTTGGTGCTACCTACATGCCACTTTCAACCCACATGAGTATATTCAGGCCTAGAATCTGGGAATCAAAGTTTGGAAACAAGTAAACTCATGCTTGGTGGTCAAAGGATTAATAAAAGGGCTGAATAGGGAAGAGACTCCACAGAACAGAGTTCATGACTTAATGGGAAATTAAAACTCTAAACATATGAAATTCAGACCTTACCAGCTCACTTAAGGCCTAAAGACCTTACACAATCAAGAACACTATGACAAGGATGCAGCATAAAAAGCAGCCTTCATGGTGCAAAAGAGAGAAAGAGCTTCAGCTTTACTGAGCCTGCATTCACTTCATGCATGAGAAAATTTAAATTTCATGACTGCACTTTAAATAATTCACTATTTATCCAGATGACCTAGGCACTTGAAACTTTCAGGGAACAATTTGTAGCTTTTCAAATGTGATAAAAGAAAATTGTGAACCCAGAATTTCCACATTTTTCATAAGGTGTCAAATGGGATGCCTTTTTTTTAGCATCGCTCAATATTTCCATTCAATTTACCATTCAAGAATGATAATGGATGAAGATTATTGGGTAGGCATCCTATCTGTGAACAAGTAGCATTGAATCAAAAAAGTGAAAAAGTTGACCATGTTTCTGAACTCAAGGCTTGGATTACTTTCTGTTCCTGCATCACCAAGGATGGAAGTAAATTCAAAAAAGCAAATGCAGAAAATGAAGGAAGTAAGGGACTGTGACTTGCCTGAATATGGTATTATGCAGGTATACTTGGTAGAAATGATTGGCACTTCTGTCTCTTGTCAGCAACTGGAGTAACTCTCAACTCTCAGTTTCTTCATTCCCAAAGGTGGCTGGATGATTGGAGTACCAAATGTTGTGCACCAGTACATTTACATAGGAGTTTGACAACTACCTGATACTGCTTGTTATGTTGCTATGTGCTGGTACATGAGTATTGACCATGGCATTTTGTGGATTCCCCCCTCCCAGGTGACCCCAATCAACTTCACTACAGGAGAGCTAAAGCCAGATCTGAGTTACTGGAAGTCAAACATGAACACAGATGCATCAGACAAGAATCCACGGAAGCAGCTTCCTCTTGTGGATGTGGCTGTCCCTATCTATACTGTGTTTGACTCTGTTGTGGACTCACACCATGACATGTGGCTTCAGTTTGGGCCTACATCTGAAGTGAAAGATGCAGCCCAGACCACAGTCCCATTCCTGGATGCTCAGGAAGTCTTTTCCAGGTAAAAACTGCTTTAAATTTCCATTTTCCTTTTGGGTGGTTGTAGAAACCATCATAACCTTGAACTTGATATCTCTGATATTTTGGGAGGAAGAGCCATGAAACTTGCATATGCATATGTAAAATATGCATATTTACACTTGCCCGAGCACTTAAGATTACTGATGATGTGCATATGCTTACTACATAATCCCCCAAGTGGTTTTCCTGCTCAAAGTACCATGGGGTAGGTCAGGGATGTAGCTATAGACACACATACCTCCAGGGGGTTCGTATCACAGAACGTAACGTATCGCAGAATGGTTTTTATACTGGGAGAGTCTCGTGTTCGAATTTCTCTTAAAGTTCTGTGCAGTCACTAGTGAGTGACTTTCAAAATAATGTTCCACTATCCTGTACAGTGTCCCAGGCTCCAAGAATTCATGGTCAACAACTTAGCAGCCGTGGCGTAGCCAGGATTTCGTCAATGAGGGGGACTAAGCGGAACGGTGGGGGGGCTTGCTTCTCCTTGCCCAGGGGTGGGGCGGCGGATGCATTTAAACCAGATTTATGGGGGGGGGGGGCTGAGCCCCCTCAAGCCCCCATTCGCTACGCCACTACTTAGCAGTATTGTATCTTCAATCTGAAGTGAAATTTGAAATTTACAGTTTTCTTTTAAATCAACATTCTCAATTCTTCATTTCTGCAGATTTTTCATAATTGGAACTCCTCTGCACCGGTGGGGGGAAAAAGGTGGTCCGAAAAGTGGTAAAATGAGCTCACCACTACTAGGTGGGTGTGAATGAAGGGAGGATGAAGAGAGGGTTCCCAGTTTGGCCATTAGAGTGAAATCCCATGAGGTAACAACGAGCAAGGAATCACGGGGTAGGAGTGGGGCCTTCTACAATATTTATCTCACGTCACAGAAGATTCCTGGGACCTGTTCCTCGCCTCTGCCATACTTATACTTATACTTATACTTACTTATACTTATACTTATACTTATACTTATACTTATACTTATACTTATACTTATACTTATACTTATACTTATACTTATACTTATACTTATACTTATACTTATACTTATACTTATACTTATACTTATACTTAATCTAAATCTAAACTTGACCTTATTATTCCTTGTCAAGTAAAATTTTAAAATGCCAGCGGCCCGTTTCTCGCCTTTGCTAAACAATCGAAACCTGAACTTAATTCTATTCTAAAAGCGGTCACTCAGCACTGAGGTGAAGGACTCCCTTGGCTTCATTTTAAAATGCTATTAGGTTAAGTTTTGACTTAGATTAAGTTTAGCAGAGACAAGGAACAGGCCCCAGGTGGCATGAGGGAGGACTTGCAGGGTAGCATGAGGGAGAATTCTTACGAGAGCCATGAGGGTGGATCTGTCCACGTGTCCGGCGGGGAGTAGTTCCTCGATCTTTCCCTTCGTGATCTGAGACACCCAGGAATTGATCTTCTTCCTCGATTCTTCCGGCTCCTTCCCGAAGTCCAGCATCTTGATTTCGTCGTGGAGGAATCGCAGGGTCTCCTGGTCCATGAACCGCCTCATCGAGCTCTCGATGTAGATCCGATTCGCCGAGTTGAGCTCGTATTGCTTCCCTTGATCTTTCCCCTGGGTTTGATCTTGTAAAAGGCTCAATCCTCGCCCCGGGGAGCTTTCTTTACCGCCTGGTAAAAAGAAAAAAAAAAAAGGGGGGGGGGGAGAAATTACGTAATCGGGCATCCAACAAATTTTACAAGGAAATTTGCAAGCAGTTACAATTATCCTCTAAGAGAGGTTATGCAATGATTCCAGGCAGGGCCGGCCTTAGGCACGTGCCACATGTGCCCTCGCAGAGGGCGCAAAATTAACCCGGGGCGCCGAAACGTGACTAAATATACGAAGCAATAATGGATGCCACCCTCAGTTTTACTTCAGAATGTGAAAATGCCTTCCGTTTCGGCGTCAATTTGAACGCTAGGGATTGACCCTTCTCCATTCTGGGGGGGGGGGGGCGCTTCGGGAGTCTCTTTGCACAGGGCGCCGAAATAGCTAGGGCCGGCCCGATTCCAGGCCGTGCCTGGAATCGGATGAGCGTGCAGAAAGAAGAAACGAAGGCTTACCAAGGACGACTTCGTCAAAGTGCTTCAGGTCCTTGAAGGCAAGGCTGGCGTGTTTCTTGCCCAGGTCCTTGAGGCCGAGAACATCCTCTAGGGCCTCCTTCATGACCCCTTGCGACGCCAGGTAGGTCAGCATCAACGCCTGCCACACGCTGTTCAGTTGGCACACACGCATACAATGTTAATCCATCCCGGACCTAACCAGATATGGCCGAGTGGCCCACTTCAGATATAGACTATCAAGTTGTTCTATCAAGTAATTAAAGCTGAGCTAAAATAATTACACAATCCTGGCGGCCTGCATCGCTCAAAGTATTCGAAGCCCTACTTCGAAGCAATCGGACAACACTGAGGAAAAAATAGCAAGAGAGAAACCTGTAGGGTGAGAAGATCAAGTTCTCCTGCGACCGGATGTCATCCACCTCGGGCTTCTCGTAGAGTTTCTTGAAGAGCCGGAGGCTGAACTTGACGGAGGCGTCCATATACTCCCGAAGAACCTCGGAACTGGCGTTCTGAAGCAAGTCCTCGCCCCGGGGGCATTCTTCCTGTCCCAGGACGGGGAACACCAGGCTCCCCAACAGCAACAACGTCTTCACGCTCATTCTCGATACGTTTTTTGTGTTTCCTAAGAGAGCAAGAGACTCCGGATTTATGAAAGTGGAACGAATGGGGGAGGGGGGGTTGAGGGGAGCCTTGATCCACTTTTCTACAAGGTTTCTGGAACAAATGGACACGAAACGGAAATGCATTCGATGCAACCTTGATGTTTATCGTTCTGAGCATTCCCACGCTTCGATTCCTGGCTCGGTTCAACCAATTCTAGCTTACAAACTGAATCGACAGTTTCGCGAACGGCCTGCCGAACGCACTTTCACGTCGTTGAAAAGCCAGAAACCAAACCGGACTTCACCAGACACAGTGGAATGTGAGACGCGATATGCTAAAAATAACTCCTCGAAAAGGAAAAAGAGAGAGCGAGAACTTTCACTGTCGGAGTCAAGGAAGCGAATGCGTCCTTTCACTTTGAATCATCCACTCCCAGGCACGGACGTACACCTTGGGCTTGGAATAGAGGTCTGCATTCCCCTAAATGCCGCGGGCCGTCCTGCAACACAGTTGCCCGATTTTCCGTCTTTTTCTGAAACTATTACACGCGACTGATAAGCCCGCGAGTCTTTTTATTTTTATTTTTTATTTTTTAGCCAACTTCGAGCCCGATTCTCGCAACATACGCCCATATCATGAAATAAATCGAGTGCAGAGTGGGGAGACGTGGAGCTATTCCTCGACATCCCTGAAGGCGTTGGCCCCGAAGTCCGCAGTGCGGGAAACGTGGATACGCGTAGGACCTTTCTCTCAGTCTACAGGCAAGGCAAGTCGCAGCCGGGCGTATAGCCCGAGGGGAATGCATAGAAATACCCGTATCATCGTTCCCATTCGCCCTTGTACAGCGGTGTAAGTCCGTGATTATATATTTTTTTATTCACCTTACATCGGGAATCCCCTTTTCGCTTCCGGAGGCGGGGATTCCCGCTGAATCCGGGAAATGCAGGCATTGTCTCTCTCACGCAAGCTCGCATCCTGCTCTCACGGATTGTTAGCAGGATGCAGTGGCGTAGCGAAGATTTCAGGAAAGATGGGGGCTGGGGAATGGATTGGACGGTTAACATTTCTTCTCTAGCCTCTCCACTAACTGACAAATTATTGGGAGGGGGAGCTGAAGCCCCCATACCCCGTCTCACTGCGCCACGCACTGACGTAATGGGATCCTCTACTATAGTTTACCGCTAAAAGTCATGTAGGACATTGAAGGAGAAATGCTTATCGCTATGCGGAAAGAAGCTCATAGCGAAGAAAAAAACAACTTTGGCAGTTGTTCCTTTCCAGCTGAAAGCTTTCCATTCTCTCGTCAGACGATGCTTTATCGGGGAACGGACCCGATGCTCAATATTTCTCTTACAGGATTCAACTTGTAATCAATAAAGGGTGAGGGACTCCCTTAGGGGCCCTAGAATTCGAGACTGGAAGTTATTGCCACGTGCCTTGGGACTGATGAACACGTACCAAGTGGGGCATCGCAACGACTCCAAGTCAGATCCGTGAAGAATTGCTATTAGTCGGCAAGCTGAATGTACGTGGAAGCGACGAGAAGCAAATGTAAATTCCTATATCATTTGTTAACTGTAATCAATCCATTTTACAAGGTGGAACGAGTAGCGGTACTTCGGAAGGAACGAAGTACCGCTACTCGTGAGTTCGAATCGACTCGGTACAGTTTCGAATTGATTCGTGGCTCCGCCTTTTCCATCGGAATCTTTGTTGGCTCGACCTGGAGAAGGGTGAAGCTATCACGAAATGGCTCGAATTCATTCCGAATCTGCTGTAGAAACGGGAAAGACGGACTCAAATAAAAGAAGCGGAAGACTAGAGGAATCGCCGAGATTTTCTTAACCTTTCCATTCCAATTAGGCAAAAATTAACGAGAAAATAACTTTTACAGAGCGAGTTAATTCAGGAAAGAGTAACGGTAACTATTTCCTTCTAAAATGTAACCTGTCTATCCATTGTCGAAAAGGTACCGACGTACCGAGAGTGGAATCCTGTAGTTTCCATGGGTTTGGAATAGATAGGAATACACCCTCGCCATATAGCCTGTTTGAGTGGCAAACGATGAATCATGAATTCGAAACAATTTCTATTTGCGCAAGCTTGTTGGACGGGTCGATAGAAGTTGAAGCTCTCTGAGTCCTTCATCTAAGCCTAATTGGAGTGCAGACCTACATATTATCAAGGGCTCCGCTGGACCCAGCCATTTTCAAATGACGTGCCAGTAGCCTCAAGGCTTTTTCGTTATGGCAAATACCTGTACAGTATGTTCGTTTGGTAGTCGAACGTGTTTGTTCGATGTTCGATCAGGAGCTTGGTCCACCCTCCTCTGAACCGAACCAACTACCTGGGCAGTTTGGGGATATGGCAGTCTCCTCGTAAGGGAGGACCAGTGGCGTAGCGAGGGGGGGCAGGGGGGAACAGTTGCCCCCGGGCGTAGGGCTGAGAGGGGCGCAAACTCGGGGACCGAAACTTACGTCTTTGTTTGGACTTTATTTGGAGGGCTTCTAGGTTGTGAACGGCATTAATGATTAATAATATTCATCATTTAAAATAAATGTATGAATAATAATATAGTTTACGACTTAGCAGCCAATCGAACAAAAAAGTTCGGTGGCTTTGGTTCCTACTCTTTAATTTAGCGCCCCCTCGGCTTCAGGGTCCCAGCAAAATGCCAGCATTCATTATTTTCACCGTTTCACGTTAACCTATTAAGAAGAGTTTTCGAAAGCGTCTCACCCACATCAGTACATATATCCATCTACTTTTAGCAACTTTCACAGTGATGCGGCATTTATTTGTTATTTGTATTTCCAGTTGACAGCTCACCTTCGAGCGTCAATGGGACAGGATCGACTCAGCAATCTGGCCCTTCTGAGTGTGGAGAGGGAAGCAATTGAGAAGACTGATTTTGATGATGTAATCAATCAGTTTGCGGCAGTGAAGGCAGTGAACTTGATTTAACGATGATTAAAGTCATCGTATCAAAAGTTCCTAACACTGATAGCATTGATCACTGGGACTTGAGACGTGGAACAAACTAGTTAATAGAATTATATTAGAATTTAATTTTAGTTTGTTTACATTTTTAAAATATATATTTGTTTAAATTTGTTTAAATTTTGTTTAAATATCTTTGTTTACATTTTTAATTATCTTTTTTAAATTTAGTTTTATTGGGCGCACTCATTAATACTGTATAACTCTAAGTTTCTCCTGTCATTGGTATTTGGCAGTGAATTCAAGTTATTCGATTGTATTCTAAAATTGTAATTTTCTCGATAAAAAAATTAAATGAGTTCTTTTTTTTTAAATAAATCATATTGTGTGTTTACAATGTCTGTCAAACAGTACTTTCAGTATATATAAAAAAGAAAATTTTGATATATGCCAAATGTTCTCAAATGCGTGTGTAGTATGCTTGGGTTTCCACCCCATCCCCCATATTACATTTGGCTGGGCCTGGGGACGCAGATTTTGTAACTTGCCTCCGGGCACAGAAGACCCTAGCTACGCCACTGGGGAAGACATATCTCGTAGCAGATGAGACTCCGTAGTCCAACGAGGTGAATGTATTTCCTACTATGGGTTAGCATTAACATCGAAGAATTGAAAATTGTATGCTGATTCTCTGATAGGCTGACGACACCCATGATGTCATAATGACCGAAATTATTCGATTGAGAATTAGCGAACAGACCGAATGAACAGTCGAACGTTCTGGAGAATGAAAACATTCTTCAGAACGATTTCATTTGGGCTAACACGTTCCTCCTATTTCCCCCCAGGGATTATTTGTGTTTCGCATCCCAAAGCAGTTAGGAAATCGCGCATTGAACATTCATGTCTCAAGCATTCCTCTTCCATGGAGTTCGGTCCTATATTTTCCGCTACAGAACAGCCTGCAGATTTTGCAGAAGCACTTTTCAGCTCTTGGTGAGTTTCAGAAGTCACTAAAAGGCAATAACCCGAACCCAGACCAACTAGGAACTGGGAAGTGTAAGCAGCAACAGGGACTTCTGTGGACTGACTAATAAGAGGGGGAGGGGAAGGAAGGAGGGATGACGTGGGTGACCAATGTGAGGAGGCGGAGGGGCCTGACGTAGATTTCGTGACAGCCAATCAGGATTTTGCCTGCGGTAAGTTTGCTAAGTCCCAAGAGAAGCCTGGACTCAGCGTGGCATCCGCTGACGAGCGCGGGAGGGAATCGTGTTCAAAGTCAGAGAGTTGCAGGTGTTTAGAGAGGTGAGAGCCCGTCACCCATCATGGATATCACCAACTTTGTAGTCGGGACACCATCTGGAGAACATCTTCAGCAGATGCAAGTGGATCACCTTCGACTACAGTAGCCTTCCCCTACTGACCCCAGACGGTTTAGAAGGCTAAACATCCTGCCAGGCATGAAATCACTCTAACATCGGCCCACCCTCACATCTACATTCGCAATGTAGAAACTCGGCACGCCTCGGAACATGATCGTATTCTTTCCGAGAGAGAAGGAAAGAGAGTAAATGTGATAAATCCCGATTGCTTATCGTTGAAACATGAAAATCCCTGGGCGTGACATCGACAACGAAGCCGAACTTAAGGAGGACACAGTGAAGCTAAACTCGACTTATGAACGGGTCGCCTCAACTTTGCCGCATCACTGTGTACTTCATCGACAATGTCGAGCGATGCCGTTTCGCTCCCTAGGCGATTCCCAGGAATATTCACATTGTGAGTTTTTTTTTGTAGCGACTAAGTCAATTTGCTTGTTGCAGTTTCACTCAGTTTGCCGTGGGACTGCAGGGAGGATTATAATCATATGCATATCAATCAATGCATATCCGCAATATTCAGACTATCCGCATGGGAAACTAGCACCTCTGAGTCTTGGGGTGGATTGCAGCGCTAAAGGATTAAAGCGCTGAAAGCTCCATTACGCAAAAGTCAGTTTAATGCAATCCACCCTTGGTCTACGAGATTCTTGACTCGACGTACACGTTTCTTCAAGACAACGGTCGATACATAAAATAATATGCGTAGCTTCTTTTCCCGAAAAAGAACGTATCTGATATTGACACGGATGAAACATTTCCGACAGAAAGCTTCACGCTGCTTATGGAAGAAGGGAGAAACAACTTTGTTATATTTCGATCCGCTCTGAGAAACCAGGGGGGATTGGGTAAGCTACGTAACCGTAAAATAGTCTTTTATGAAAGGAGGTCTGTCAGTGTGGTTTTCAATCCCACGACTTTCCTAGAACTTTGTTATCTGATAACACTGTAATCCCCTCCTCCCCCTACCCATATGTCTGCTCACACTCACCACGTGCTTTGGAGGGATAGCCTAGACCGGTTTCTTTCTGGATTCTGACGCTGTCTTATAACGTTAGATCAACGTCAGGCCAGCCGCAGGCCTTGGATTTTATGGTTAATAGAAGTGTTGACTACGGTATTCATGGAATCCTAAGTTCTTCTGGTTTTGCCCTTTGGTGACAATGTTGCTGACGATCCGGGAAGACCAGAGAGATAGATTGGGAATCTTGAGAAGCCTTGACAGCAAAGGTGAGCTTATTTTGTACGCTAAATTTTGAGTTTGAGTCAAATTCAAAATTTAGCTTTAGGGTAGGCAAAAAATGAGATACAGCTTAACATGAAGCTGTGTGTGACTAACCTTAGACCTAGTGTTACGTGAAGTTAAGAACACTACTTCAGTTTTGTTTTTATATCTTTACAATAATTTTCCGGAAAAGGAATGAGTTTTATTCTTAGTTTCTTATATGTGCAGGCATCTTATGAGTTCATAATTGCTTACTACCTATCCATTATGTTGGCTTATCTGAATTGGATACTGGCTAATTATTATTTTTTAGGAATATTTTAATTTGCGTGTGTATTTTTGCAAGGCAAGTTACTTGACTGTTTCTGCTACAGTATGGAAGAACTGTTGCATTTCCAGAATTTAGGGAAAGAAGTTATCCAAGAAAATAGAGTTCATTCTGTCTCTCCATTGTATAGTAGTTCATTGTCACAGGCATGTTCATAGGCTGGCATTTACAGGGCTACTGAGAAATTGGTTCAGCTACTCAGAGAGGTGTTTCTCAGATTCTATGGGATGCATGGCCATGAATCTTGGTAGAGCAGTTCATAACACCTCGAGGAAAAGGGTTGAGTCTATTGCCATGAAGAAGGGTGTCACATAGAGATTGACATAGTCTATAAGTGGATGTAATCTTTGAGAAAAATGATGGGCATTTTAAAAATTAATTGCACAAGTGTCTGTGCCAACTGCTTTAGGGCAGTGGCCTACCTCCTCTTGGTTATGATGTTTGACTGATAATTGTTCTTCCCATGTTTAGTAAAGTGATTTACCAAGATTCAAGGTCTAAGGATCCATAGATTCTGAGATACATATCTTGGAGTGGATAAACCAATTTATAGGTCACACTGTAAATTGACTTAATACAGTTAGCCCAATGTATGTTGCTTAACTTACACAATGCTTGTTTTGCACTATTCACCCTTCTTTCTTACTGCAGGTATTCAAGATTTCTGTCAGATTGCCATGCAGAAACTACATGGCAAGGTGAATCCAAGAGTATTCAGTTCTGCTGCAGGTGAGTTCACTGTACTTTGAAAGCTGAAAGAATCTCTTTTTCCAATCTGAGCTGATGCATTTCACAAGGTCTCTTTTTAAGTGAAAGTATTGATTATTGTTACTGGTTACTGGGGTTTTCCTATTAGATTGCAGGAATACCAGGGGTTTCATACTGGACAACCAGGTACCAGAAAATATTAATGCCATTGCATGATATATAGGTATACAATTTTTGATGCAAATATTTTAAGATTAGATGAGAGTTTTGACATCACTTAGATATGGAGCTTAATAATTTTTTCAAACTATTGAGCTTGCAACAGAATTTTTTTTTTGTAAATAAAACAAATCTGAACTTTGTTGGGGGGGCTTTGGTTAAATGAAAACTAAGAAGAGGAAGAGGAGGATTAGTAACCTAATTTCTCTCTGTCTCAGCCAGGTCACTTTTTTCATGCCTTTCTGTTCTTACCAGTAAATGACAGGGCTTTTTCCATTTTTGCAATGTTTTAATGTTCAATCTTGGAAGTGATGGAAGAATCCAGTTCAGAAAGGAATGAACTTGTGCAGAGAAACTGGACCCATCTTTCCTTTCCCTATTCCTTACTCTCTGGTTCATAATGAGTTATGGGTATGAACTCAATCCAATTGTTCATTTCAAGAAAAGTCTGTTATCTAAAGAAAGTGTAGCCATTGATTATTTACCAAAGGCAAAAGATGTCCACATGAAAAAACTTAGCATGAAAGGGTTTTACAGGGTGGGCCTTAAATATTCATACCACTAGTAACTTCCCAATTTCTGTATGCCTAAAATCCGAAAATATAGCATTTTTATCTCTATGTGAGTGTCTCTTTGGTGGTCAACCCTGGCTGTCTTAACATGAATTCTTCTCCGCCTGAAAGTGGTTTAACGTAAAAAAAATTGTCTGGTTGACCATGTAACAGAAATGATCAAAGAATATGAATGGCCCCCTTATAAGTCTGACTGTAACTGATTGGATTACTGTATGGAAAGTCAGCTGGAAGCAATTGCCCAAAAACGAAATCCAGCGACTTGAACCAGTTCATGCTATAAGAGGAGTGAAACCATGTCTGTCCAGTGCAATTGATCGACAGATTCAAAGATTCCAGGTTGCCATCAAAAGGCACATTGAAAATATTTTGTGAATAGTTACTGTGAGCCCTTGTGCCTTGCTGAGATTCAATTGATTCCATGAGAAGTTATTACAGGAAATGCAAAACTTTGCTTTTGTGCAAGTATTTATGGCCCACACTGTATATCTATTGTGCACTACTCCCCAGCATTTTGAACTAATGTAACCCTATGAAACAAGCATGTAGGCTATACACAGTATGAATGTACATTGGATTAGATGAAATATGATATTGAAGAGGACTATGAGTTTTATTTGCTTTGAAAGTACTTGAGAATGATGTTTGTTTTTTTATTTTTAGGGAAACTAGGAGTCACCCCTGAGATTGTAACAGGTGCAGTTGATGGCCTTGTGTTTATTCTGAGTGAAGCAACAAATGCTCAGGTATGTACCAATCTCTCTCTTCATCTTCTGGATGGGCCCTTAATTTCTATATCTGCATAATTATTAGGACTGTACCAATCCTTAGATCGGAGATCAGACAACAGCTGATTCTGACATTTTTCATGAAATCAGTGAAACCAATCTTTGGGCCAACCGATCGTCCGATTTTTTTTGTGTGTTGAACACATATCGCATCTCTTCTCCCTATTTTGATTTCCTAGCATTTTGTAGCAGGCCAGGGAACTCTTAAAAGGAAACAGTGTTAGATGCAATCTGCATTTATGAGAACAGAACTCAAAACTTGAAAGCACCTAGCCATAAGTCAGTCAGGAGTGCAAACTCTTCCTACTAAATGACAGTGAATATAGGAGTACATGCAAGAAGCTGTTGCATACCCATTGAATCATCAAAGAAGCTCTTGCTGTTGAATTTTTCTAAAATAAATGCTGAAACCTTGAATGGGCCTGCTTCCATTAAATGAGCAGAGGCCTAATGTTAATGTTTGGCGTAGGATTCTAGATGCAACCTTTGTGTATGCAGCATGATGGGTCGATGCCAATGGTATGGCCTATCCTAGCCTAGGTCTTTGTTTTCTTGTCTTTTTCCAATAGTAGTCATGTGGAATACTAAAGTAGTATTGTTATATAGATTCAAACAAATTCCCAAACAAGAAGTGGTATAAATCTCTGCTGTACAGTGTAACACCTTTAGTGAAAACAGAATCTGATATTTATGGCTAATTTTCCTGTAGTATGGAGCAATATTTGTGATTTTTGGTGGTTTTAGAAAAACTCATGATTTTAATTAAAAAAAAGGGTCATGGTAGAGGCTTCTCATGTTTTGCTCAATGTAGAACTGATGCACCTAATTCAAGTTTTCTCTTTCATGGACAGTGGGAAGCATTCTTCCCTAAATGTTTTATCCCAATGCCCTGGGATGAAACTCTTTCTCCCAGTCTTTCACACTCACATGACCATAATAGATCAGGAAAGGTTCCAGCCAAAATTATGAGAATTTTTTACATGAGAGTGAAAAATTGGGATTTCTCAAAATAAAAGCCTCCATAATTGGGAAAAGAAAATGTACTGAAATTTCTCATTTACACATGGGAAAAAATTTTCCCACAAAAAAGTTTGTCATCTTGATTGCACCAACTCTGCAAAGAAGACCTATCCCATAGTCATGCACGAAGATCGATATTGGTATTTTTATTGGTATTGGTCTTCTTTAAAGAACAGGTATTGAGAATCAGCATATTAGCCAAATTTTTGTTATAAGTACAGCCCTAATAATTATTTATACATCTTTGAGATTCAGAAAAACTGGTAGCTGTATATTAACACATTAATCGCCATATGGAAGGCTAGTGGATCATACACTTATGTATTTAATGGGCCAAAAATATATTGTAGCAGTGAACTTGTTATGACAAAAAAATCAGATTATGAGATTTCCATGGAGGTTACACTTACTGAAGTCTTGCAGGAGAAACAACAGTAGGAAAGACAGGAACTTCTAAGCCTGTGCAAGAAGAGAATATCACAAGACAGGATGTTTGGGTGGATTGATCTAAAGATCCCCTTGTAGCATCATAGTCATCATTAGGATCAGAACCTCTCTATTATTTCAGTTTGTGGAAAGATGTTACTGAACTGTATGCAAAATGAACTCCTTATATACATGGTGCCTGCAGTGATGTGACTCATGCAGAAAATTTGAATTCCAAGAACATTTTCACCTTTTCTATTTAGTTGAGCCTGGTAGACTTTCAGACCTCTGTGATGGTCCTGAGTGCAGATGAGAGTCATGTAAAGGCTCTCTGTCAGTTTTATGAGGAGAATCGGGATGAAGCATGTCAACTTCTCTCTCGGTATTGCCTGGACCTTCCTTTCTATCACAGTTTGGAGTGGAGGTTTGAGATCCTTGTAAGTTTCAGCTCCTTGTCTCTAAATTTACATCTTGCACTTATTGGTGGACACTACATATAATTCAGATGGTACCACCATCCATGCTTTCCACATTTTGTATGTTTGTGAGCAGCATGTAATTTCTCTGCTCTAGTAGGACCTGGAATCCAAAATCCAAATGGGTATCCCATTGGAACATGTCTTTCAGGCCAAAGAATGTCAAATATATGGTACTTTCCCACAAAAACAAGCCTTCTCCTGGCCCTATGATTTCCAGTTATTCGTTTTGCTCCCCTTGTAATTTCTTTAATGCTGTCATGTCCAAAGGTTCCATTTGGAACCACCGATTCAAGAATTTGTCTAATTTAGCATTTGAATTTCTTTGAATAATTGCTTTCAACTTTACCATAATATTGGATGCTGTCTGATGGTTTGTAGACAATGTGTCAATTGTATCACTGCCTGCATCTAGAACAGATCCAAGAGAGGACACTGGTTTTTTTATTTGAAGTATTTATTTTTCAGAAATTCTCTTTACACCTATTTTCAAATTAGTTTTGCAAGTTAGATTGTGAAAAGTAGTACAGAAATGTCAAGAAACATACCAAAGAAGGTAAGAGATTTGATTGCTAGCACAATTAATGAAGTTGCATGATATTTCGATTTTTTATTTGAGTTATTTCAACTAAAATTTTATTTATTAAGAAAATTTTAATTTGTATTTGTATTAAGAAGCATGTATGTGTTTCCTAAGCCTTGTTGAATTGACAACACTAAATGGATTGTTGACCTAGCCAAAAACAAAAATCACTCATCAGAGAGCTAAGCTACTTAGAAACACTTTTAGTATCCAGCTCACATGAAATGCTTGTATTCAGAATACAAAGTCCTCTACCCTTGCCTTTGGTACTCACAAATATAATGAGGCATTTTTTCTTCTCATGCAGTTGCCTGGCTACAAAAACTACTACATCTTTAAATAAGCCTCTTTACTCTGAGGAATCACTCCATCCACTGCTTTCTGCTCAATAGATTCAGTCATGCTTCCTCTGGCTATTTGGAAGTAATAACCTGAAAAAAATTTGTCATTCATCCTCTTTAGCTCCATCACTAATGTGTCACTATCTTATACATGAGTCATAGTTGTAATTTCAGGATTAACCCTTTAAGTACTGTGAATGCATATACACATTTATAGTAGGCTATGCCTTTTGGACTGTGAACGTGTATGCATGTTTTGCAGTAAGCTGCTCCTTAGGACTATGAACATATATGGGCCAATGTCTTCCCACATTCATATCCATATCCACATTGTACATCTTCTGTAAAACTAACTCAGTCCATGGATGATGATAATGACCACCAAACTCTGCACCGAAAGGGTTAAGCTATATCGTTATTTCCCCCTATGGATTGCCAGAAAGTTTGAGCATTCCAAAACATGAATATGGATACTTAAAAAAAAGAAGCTCCATCTTTTTTATGGGGAACTGATAATTTCTTTTGAAATTCATTGAAAAATTGTAATATCCCTTGGCTTTTCCTTTGGGCTTTACCCTTCAATTCATTGAGACACTTTAATATCATTTGGCTTCTTGTAGGGGGGGCATCTCTTTGGAAGCACTAAACTGCAGATTGATGTTTTTGGAAACAGCTGGTAAATCCAACTTGCATCACCAGTTATGATATTTTAAAAAAAGAAACCACTTGGCCCTTTGCCTATAAAGTTTTTCTATATTAACTCATTCCATTTGACTTGGGCCTCTTACTTCTGCCATCCCCTGGCTCATTTCAAATTTTTGAAACCTTGATCATTGCTGAACATCCTGAAGGATATTGGATATGATATCAAGAACATAATCTAGCCTGACTTTACAAAATTTTGCAGGTTGGGTCCCGATGCTTGCGTGAGGGGATCGAGCCCCAGGTTCTCTTGCGTCTCACAACAAAGACTCCAGACTCTGATGAGGTGGGGATCCATGTTTTAAGACTTGACATCCCCAATCTCATGCATCTCCTTCGCACACTAGAAGAAGCACTGGCCGAGTCCCAGAGCAACCAAACTCGCAAGATCCTGCGGGCATTCCGATGATCCCATTCATTTCTCTCTGTCCCTGCTTTCTTTGATGCTTCTTGTTTTTCTGTATTTTGCAGAGTTTAAGTTATCTGGTTTCCTACTGGTCTGTGTCCATTTGTATTTTCACTGGTATATAAACTATATTGTTTTTGAATTAGCTTTATATTCCTTTTTTGTCTGTGAGAAACATCGTTCCTCTGTTGTGTTCTCACAGAACTACATGCCTTCATCAGTTCACTAATGGATGACATGGAGCCTTTCATCTATTGATCTCCTAATTATCCCTCTGCACTCAGATTTAACTGGCATGGTCTGCTCCAGCAGCTCAGCTTTATTTTCTGGCCATTCAAACTGTTCCTCATTTGTAACACTAATTTTCTCTGTACAGAATGAAAGTTTACTCACATGATGCTTTGCAAGTGTCCTCCAGGTATTGTTGATTGAGGCCCAACGTATGAGTGGAACTCCTCTTTTTTCATGCTGGATGGAGGTCCAACAGGTGAGTGCAAAAGGTAAATGATTGAAACGTTTTTTGGATACCATCACTGACTGCTTGACCAAGTTGGAAGAGGATGTGTACCAGACTTAGCATAAATGGCTCAACCATTTGTCATCTGGATCAGTGGTCTCGCTGAAAGCATCTGTATTGCGTATGGCACTTTTCAAAACATTCCAACGAGGAAAAATAAAAAGGGATGAGACTTCCGTTGTAGATCTCATGAGGACATGAAGCAAGGTCATGCTGTATTTCGCTTCGTTGAACAAGCATTCATGCTGATATTGTGGATTCTTGGCAGTAGTGGGTGCGAAGTGAGACCATGTTCAGGTAAATTTAACATGTTGAAGGTCATGTTTGGAGGAACATATTCCCTTTTTTTCATTTTTGGAATTGTTGGGTCATGTGCTTTTCCCCAGTATCTTGAAATCTCAGATCTGTGATTTTTCTTAACCGATACGTAACATGACCGAAACATTGACTGCGGCCCAACGAAATAAATGTCACTTTCGTCGTAAAGATTGATCAAACATGCTGAAACAAATTTGCGATGCGAGGAAGAGCAGGAAGCTTAGATGGCTCTTGGTGAAAGGTCTTTTCGTGCTCCTCTGGAACTACCTTGTCAAGAATGGAAGAATGAAACACATGTGACCGAAGGCTTATGGGCCAGAATCCTTTCTTGCAACCGTGCATTTTTTAAATTTCGTTTCTAGTTTCTCATTACTTCAACTCCATTCTTCAAAGAGACGATGGCAGAGAGAACCAACCCATGCGTTACCCAACCAATGTCGAAGATATGCAATTTGCATTCTCAGATTCACCCGTCGCTCGATTGAGCCTCTCGACACAGGAGAGACGAGGCGCACACCGCTATCGCCTGTCCTCAACGTCATGACGTCAGCAACGAGTACTCGGGAGGAGAGCAGTAAGACGGAAACACCGCGCGACGCCTGTCCAGAGACACCAGAGAGCGGAACCGATGTGGTGCCGAGGAGCCCTCCAGTCGAGATCAGGCAGCCGTCCGGTGCGCATCTGCCGCCCGCGGTCGTGGGTCAGCGTGAAAATCACGTGGTATGGATAGTTTCTTCCGGCACCTTTTGCTCTATCTTGGGGCGCGTCTTTTTCTCCAGCCGCTAGCAGCTGCTAGCGAAAAAGACGCGTTGGCGAAGCAAGACCACGTCATCGAATGACGTCACTCTTGGGCAAGCAGCTGGCAGCGGAACATAGCGAACTATGGGAGCGCTGAGCAGCTCAGCCTTAACATGACGTCATGGGATGCTGGAGGCCTCAGCAGAGCTAGCAGAGCCGCTAGGAAAAATGACGTGCCCTCGGAGGGTCATTTCTTGCGAATCGTTCTTGTGAGGCTACTTTCCTTTCGTACCTCTGTTTCGGGACTGCTTCCAGTGTTCGATTCGACAGGGAGTGCTTTCCCTTCCTTTTTCCTTTCCGTGACAAATGAGGAGCATTACATGGCTGGAATTCATCCTGATTCGTTCATTCGGCCGGGTTATGAATATCGATATCTGAAAGAGTGAAAAGCCTGAATACAGCGTCATTCTGTGAAATCGGGGAGATGACAGTGGAAAGAAGTGTCGCAGTTGGCAAGACCCAGTTGTTCAAATCGCGAAGCCATCGCTCATCTGCCTTCCGTCGCAACCATGGAGCGGTCGCAACGAAGAGATCGCTTCGAAGTCTTGTCCCATCGGCCATGTTGCGTGTAGACGGTGGTTCGTGATGGCCTCTCCGTACCTTGCAGGCCCTGCAACCTGACCACGGACGGATTCCCTGCAAAAGCGGGCGTCCCTGTCGTCCACTCGGCCCCTCGCCATCGGAAACGTGTCATTCGGGTGTCCATCCTCATCGACCATACGAGGAATAAGGGATTGGAACCGACGATGGAAGGAAGAGGTGAACGGAAACTTTACTTCAACGAAGAATTCGAGGAAGGGCCTGAGGGTGAGTATTGCCTCTTTTCCTGCATTTTCTTGTCCCTAGTCCCGCTCGACCAACGTTTCTCGCTTCTAAATCCAGTTCTGACCTGGCTTGTGGTCTTTTCCACGCGATTTCGCCTCGTCGCTGTTCAACGAGCCTCCCATAATATGCTTCAATACACGTACCCTTTCATCTGATACTAGGCCTACATCCAATTTTTCCATTTTTCTTGTTTTGGTCACGACAAGATTCAATCACGATCTAACGGCTAATTTCACCATATGACGCCGCCGTGACTTCGAAATTCAGCAAGCTAAACTATTAATACTCCGTACGAAATTTGAAAAGATTTTGGAAACTGAAATGAGAAGGATCCAACCTCATTCATCATGCGAATAATTGTATTTTGCTTATTTAACCCTTTCATGCCAGCCTTTCGTTTTAGGCATGTGATAATAATCCGTTTAGTTTTGTGGGCGCAGCAAGGCTCAGGACACACGTACAAACTTGTATATTTCTTTTTTAGAATGAAATTGAAATTCAGGTTATTAAGTCTTATTGCAGTGTTTCTCAGTGAGTTTCGCACGTCATGCAGAATGCTTAGCACTAGCGGCAAAATACTTCGCACCTCCCTCAAAATAGATCGTACTCGTTGCATAATGTTTCGTACCCCCTGCTCTCCTCCACTCCTCCAGTGCTGCTCAGAATGGCAAGACCACCTGGCAACCCTGATGGGAACTACGGCCTTGAAACAACGGCTGCATCGCTAAGTCCTCCGTGGATGGTACGGTATTCGTTTCGTGCTTGGTCGTTATGGCGTCCGTTCGAAAGAGGGTCACTCCTGTCGCATATGATATCATTATTTGAAATTTCATCAATAAGAATTCCTAAGTATGAAACTCTTTCCATTTACTTGTTTACTTGCAGGTCTTTCCATGGAGTACTTCAGAGTAATCCGTGAATCGGGGGGTTCGAATCCATCCATTTTAAAGTCTATCCATAAGCCATGCATTCCTCTCTCCAAGGATTGTCAAATGGATGCGTCATTCGGAGAGGCACTTGCTCGTTGGGCGGGAGGGGGGAGTACGAAACAATTTTCCGCTCGTGCGTAACATTATGCGACAGGTACGAAAGTCAATGGGAAACACTGTAAAATTAAGATCAGATAAGCAAAGTCACCCATTAGTTCTGCTTGCAATCAAGCTCTTATTTCCTATCGTATATTTCCGAACATTTCTATCCTTTCTCAAATCTGACTCGCAAAAACTTTGTTTAAAACAAAAAAAATAGCTGGGAAAAAGAACTACTGAATTCTTCTCTTCAATTTTTCGAAAACCTAGAAGTTCTCTCTCTTTGATCTGAAGATGCGCGCAGATACACTATAGACATTAATTAACTGGCATCGCTTTGTGAAGTCAAGAAAAATCCACGTGCATGAAACTTCTTAAATTAATGATTCCAAATGGGAACCGTTGGGCTCGAAAGCGTTTAACCCCTTTTGCATTCGGAGCAGGAGGTGACCAGCTGCTTCAGTTGCTTTCCATTAATTTGTTTAAATAATTTTTTTTGTATCGCCAATTTTATTTCTTCGAGCATAATCGTGATCCTTCGACGCGTACGGTCCTGGGACTGAACTGTTCGCTCTCCTATTCGCGATCGCCTTTCGTTCGAGAGTAATATTAATTTATTTGGTCGTCGAGACGAGGAGACTAATTTTCATGAAGAAACAACTGTGTAGCATGTAGTAGTGTAGCAGTTCGTGCTGCCTACGCCCGTTTATTGCAATCCTACCGAGTTCTGCACTCTTATTGCCTCAGTCATTTTGCATCCTTGCATTCTGATGTGGATGGGAGAGCTCAAAATGAAATGAAACCGACCTGTTTTTTATTTTTATTCTAATTTTTATTTATTAATTTAAACGGTTGATAATGATAATCCAATCGAGAACCTCCGGTCGATCCTCAAACAGTCGAGAAGCGAAAACCATCCAATTTCGACGAACTGGACAGATTTCTGCGCGAAGAGTGGGACAAAATCGACTTGGCCACTCAAAATCCTTTGGTCAAGTCGGTGAAAGCGCGATGTTTGACGTCAAAGTCAAAGGGAGGGTGGATCAACCATTAATTATGATACTTTTCTCCCTTGTCCTATGCCTTACCTGTGAATAAAATTGGTTTTGATATTTATCCCATCCACCCTGAGAAATACTTGAAATACTGGTGCAAATACTTTTGCACCTTACTGTATACTATGTGTTCAGTTTTTTTTTTTTCCAGAACAATTCTGAGCCATGCATTGCCCCGTTACAAAGTTTACAGGTGGATCATTACACCTTAAGTGCAGTAATGGTCAATGCTCCATCTTCTCAAAATTAAATTTAGGTAGTTTTCCCAGTTTTGGCCTGAAACCGATTTTGACCAAATTCATATTTTTTAATTTGGTAAAATGTAAAAATGTTTACCAAATTTAAATATGGTAATTTGGTAAATATGGTATTAAAAATAATACCATATCTATTGAAAGGGCTCTCAGATGCAACTGATATTTGGCAGAGAGGCTTATGGATCTGTAAGGTTTTTTTTCTTCTTCCTAAAAAGAGGCATAGCGCGAAGTGAGAGGTGCTCCAGTCGACAGCAGTGCCTCTACCGGCATGCAGCACCATCTTACTGTCATTGAAAAAGCCTCAAATATTCATGAACCTCTTTGTGAAGTATCAGCTACAATCA